CCAATTTTCTAGCTTCTCACGTTCTCGAGTAATTACCCGGAAGGAACTTTTCACGGGCCTGTACGTAGGTACCACGTTTACCCGCGGACAGGATTTGAACTCGTTAATACCCACTTAGACAGGGAACACTCCCCTAAGATTTCAGCTCTCTAGCTTCTCAGAACCCCAAGTTATGAATTTACGCGAGAAAAATTTTGGGGAGCCTGTACGCGGGTACCACGCTTACCCCGGGACTGGATTTGAGCTCATTAGCACCTGCATGGACGGGGAACATTACCTTAAAGTTTCAGCTTTCCAGCATCTCAGAACCCCGAGTTATGAATTTAAGCGGGAAAAATTTTGGGGGGCCCGTACGCGGGCAGCACGCTTAACCGGGGGCTGGATTTGAGCCCACTAATAGCCGCTTGGGCGGGGAAAATTATCCCAAGTTTTCAGCCTTCTAGCTTCTCAGATCCCCGAGTTATGGACTTACCCGAAAAAAATTTTGGCGGGCTCGTACGGGGGTACTCTGCTTACCCGGGGTCTGGGTTTGAGCCCACTAATAGCCGCTTGGGCGGGGAACATTACTTCAGGATTTCAGCTTTCTAGCATCTCAGAACCCCGAGTTATGAATTTGCGCGGGAAGAATTTTGGGGGGCCCGTACGCGGGTACCACGCTTACCCGGGGGCTGGATTTGAGCTCATTAGCACCCTCGTACGCGGGTACCACGCTTACCCGGGGTCTGGATTTGAGCCCATTAGCACCTGCTTGGACGCCCGTACGCGGGTACCACGCTTACCCGGGGGCTGGATTTGAGCTCATTAGCACCTGCCTGGGCGGCCCGTACGCGGGTACCACGCTTACCCGGGGGCTGGATTTGAGCTCATTAGCACCTGCCTGGGCGGGCTTTGGGGGGCTCGTACACGGGTACCACGCTTATCCGGGGGCTGGATTTGAGCCCATTAGCATCTGCTTGGACGGGGAACATTCCTCCTAAAATTTCAGCTTTTTAGCACCTCAGAACCCCGAGTTATGAATTTGCGCGGGAAAAATTTTGGACAAAATTTCAGCCTTCTAGCATCTCAGAACCCCGACTTATGAATTTGCGCGGGAAAAATTTTGGGGGGGCACGCTTACCCGGGGGCTGGGTTTGAGCCCATTAGCATCTGCTTGGACGGGGAACATTCCCCTAAAGTTCCAGCTTTCTAGCATCTCAGAACCCCGAGTTATGAATTTGCGCGGGAAAAATTTTGGCGGGCCCGTACGCGGGTACCACGCGGGTTTTGGCGCCAATTTTGTGAATGGGGTCCCGTACGTGCATTTAGATTATGTCCCCAAAGTTTCAGCCCCGTAGCTTTTGCCGGTCTCGAGATG